ATGGCAATTCGGAAACCTCAAGTCCTAAAGCTATCTCAAAAACTTGATCCTTGCTCAGCTTGCACTCACTGCCAAACCCAACAAACACAACAGATTTGGTTGCTTGCTTATCAAGCCACTCAGATATCTTACCCCAAGACCCATCAACAATTCCTCCCTCTGGTCTCTCCACAGGCAATAAACCTACGGGAATCACTGGCTTCCCAATTAGGTTCTGGTATAGATTCAGATATTCACCTTCAATTTCATAGCAACTGCGAAATATCACAGCTTTAGAGGCGCCAAGTACCTTGTCATGCCTTTCAGGGTCACTCACTCCTGATGCATTTACCTCGTGTACACCAGCAGAAAAAGCAATTGCCTCGTGTCTCTGATAAGCCACTGATGATGGAAAAGTCACCCATTCTGGTGGTACTGTTAGATTTTCAGGAGAGAAGCGAGCTTTCCTTGCAACTGGTGGTCCAAAGAAAGCTAATGATGCAGCAGAGAGAACAGAATAAAAAATTAGCTTTACCTGAAACTCATGGGAAATATCTACCATCCAGTGGGGACTAAAATCACAAATTATCCAATCTGGTAGCTGATTGACCAATAATTGCTTCACTGCATGTTGGAGTTGATCATATGCCAACTTTAAGTACTGAATTTTTTCAAATGGAACATCCACAGTGGCCTCAGCACCTTCTGGCAAGAGCTCTTTCTCTAATGATGGTAATGGAAGTTCCACCAAATCTACCAAATGAGATAAAGTTGAAGGAAGTTTAGGAAGCCTTTGAATGTTTTTGGGAGATGATATGAAGGAGACATGAACACCAGCTTTGGCCAAAGCTATGGATAACTGGAAAAATGGCATTAAGTGGCCAAAAGCAGACCATGGAACCATCATCACATGAATTGTATTCCCAGCCATTTCCCTCTCTGTCTGTCACATGACCTTCCCAGCAGCTTTTATACCAAATTAATTCTCATATCACACGCACTTTTGGCATCTTTCCCACCCCCCCCCCCCCCCCCCAAATACCATTGTTTCAACTGGTATTGGGAAGTAGGTTTCATGATAGGACATACCAACAACTTTTTTAAATAAGATATGTGTATTTAAAAAAAAAAAAAAAACTATTTTTCAACATGACTTTCCCAAGAAAGGTTGAAATATCACTTATTTTAATTGTATCAAATCTGAATGATAGCACTGTCTTTAAATAATGCAAGATGTTAATTATTGTAGATAACTTATAAGATATCTCACTTTCGTTTATGTGTTAGAATTGTTCCAACTCTTCAAAATTGTTGTCGTATACTACAGCTAGTATGTAAAAGCAATGAAGTTAGCAGAGTGAGTTTATTAGTTCCTTTCTTAAGTTTTTTTTTTTTTATTGTTCCATTGTTACATCATAGAGTGAAAATGAAAACTAGTGTAAAATAAGAAATTTTGCAAGCCTATATTTGTTACCTCAATGTACTAAAAAGTGGGTGTGCATGATTGGAGCTTGGTGTCATTTGATTCTCTTGATATTGTCATGCTACTTCTACATTAATGGGATAGAACTTTTAGGTTTCTCCAATAGATTAAATTGAAGAATGAGGGGGGTTTTTAGATCACATTAGAAAATTTTCGCTGTTTTTTTTATTTAGGTGTTTTCTGGTCCTATATTTGAATTTGATATTAATTGGTTATGACTGCAATGCAAGATGTTTTGATGATATTGTTATAGGGTGTACTTGCAATTATAGAGTGTACTTGATATTGTTATAGAGTGCAATTGTAATTATAGTTGGAGCTGGTGCTTCGACTTGTGTTTATCCACTGACCAAGAAGCGGGGAAAGCCACTCGTTCCTATATTGTTTGGCATATTATTTGTCACGACTATTATTTGGCATACGGGTTTGGAGCATTGTTTTAAAAGTCACCTCGTACTGGTCATGTTGATCCGAATTTTGGTAATATGGTGTTTTCACTGGTTTGAGCTTGACATTATATCAATTATGTGCTTGAATCAGTTGGCCCGGTTTGAACTGGATCGAAATAGGGTTCGATCGGATCGGAAGACTTATCATTATTTTATTTTTATTTATTGAACATAATATTCATAATTTAATATTTATTATATATTATTTTGAAATTCGATTAAACCACTAACTCAGTTATCCAATACCTCAACAAAGTTAGTGACTACTCCAAGTTTTGAAACACTGATTTGGAGGTATATTAATCGCCAAATTGAGGGTTTTTAATTAGGGGCTAGGACACTTAGGGGCATTGTTGTCAAAAACATAACTTTTTATGTTTTTACGTTTTTACTAGAGTGGTGCGTGTTAAAACTCAAGTAAAAACTGTTATTGGTAAAAACTAGTAGAAATGTAAAAACGGTAAAAACTTGTGTTTTTACCGTTTTTACCGTTTTTACTTAAAACTAAAAATTTAATAAAAAAAGATTTATAAAAAAAAAAATCTAATTTTCATTTTCCCCAAATCATATTCACAATACCTTAATATCTTTTTATTTGGATATATGTTTTCTATAAATATGTCTTATAAAGCTGCTATTCTATTATAAGTTATGTTATGAGAATCGTTTTGTGTTTTTGGATCATTGTGTGCATTGAAAGAAGTGAAATTATATCACGATGAGCGATGATCCAAAATCTACATAGTATATAAAGTAATTAGAGTATATTGGTTATTCATTACTTGTTAATTATCACTGTTTATAATTTTGATACTTGGTTATGAAAAATAATTTTCCTTTTTAGATAGATAAGTGGCTCAATACACATGCTCATTATGTGATATTTTTTTTACATGCATATATATAATTTTGTATCTTGACCTTAAGTGGTAGAAAGTAGAAACTTTACGTTTTGTGTCGTTTCTACGTTTTACGTTTCTACCACCCTTTCCGTTTCTACGTAGAAACTCGAGTTTGAGAACATTCCTTAGGGGGTTAGTTAGGTAGTTTGTTAGTTAGAGTCTTTTGGGAAAAACCTAGATAGCCACATATATAGTTACCGAAAAAAAAAAAGAGTTTTTGGGTTTCAATCTTCAACACACTTGCTTATTTCACCAACTTAGTTTATTAATGCAATTTCCATTTCTACCCAAAAAGTAGAGGTTAATTGTCAAGTAAAAAAACATTATAATCTTTTTAATTAATAGCTCAATTAATTTATTACATTTAGAATATGTACGTATTTTTTTTTTACTTAAATAAATGTTGAATATAATTGGATCAGTATTAGGTGTCTAAATTATTAAATGTTTTTTATGGTACTTAAATTATTAAATGTTTAATGGTGCATTAAATCTAATTTATTAAAAATAGAATTTTACCGACAATAACTTGATTCATCACATACAGATAGAAATAAAATGACCAATCTTTAATTATAACTTAATTATACACAAAAAGATTTTTAAAATTCAATTGAACTAATATTAATATTTTAAAGCCAAACAAAAAATTAAACCTCCGAAATTTTTAGATTATAATTGAATAATTAAATTTAATTTTTTTAATTGATTCGTGATTAATCACTATTGACCTAAATAATTATTTAAATTAAAAAATAATCAAAAAATAAATCAGTTAAACTGACGGTCTAATCTGATTTTTGAGACTTAAAATAATATCAAATATTTCTCTGTATTTATTATTATTAATTATTTTTTATTTTAAGATTTTACAAAAAAAAATAACAAAAATTCGAAACATCTCTTAGGATGTGTGACAACTGACAACCTTCCCATAATTATTATAATTTTTTTAATTTTGTTCTAGAAAACATAAATGAATAGAAATAGTGTTTGATAAAACTGTGTGTTATTTTTTAATAAATTTTATTTTGGGTCCCTAACAAAAAATATGATCCCCACTTTAGTTCCTTACAAAAAAATTATTCCTGAGGTCCCTGATAAATTCAAAGTGTTATTTAGTTGAAATCGTGGTCCTTCACAAATTCAAAAAAGACCTATATTAGTCCTAAAAAGGACTAAAATTAGTCCACTTTCAATTTCATAGGGATCAGACGACTAATTTTTTTTGGTAAGAGACTAAAGTAGGGACCGTATTTTTTGTCAGGGACTCAAAAGAGACTTTACTCTTCATTTTTTTTTTATCCCGAGAATGATCCGGTTCAATTTTTATGCTAGGGAATAGAAAAAAAAATAATTTTTTTTTGCTTTTTTGTTCTTAGGCACAAAATGAGAAACATTTATCTCTTTCAATCACTCTCAACCACTACCATCGTCATTATCACCACCATTATTTCGACACGACCACTGCCACCATCGTCGTTGTTGTCGTCATATCACCAATGTTATGGCCACCACCATGATGTCACTGCTACCATCACACCATCATCACCAACCACCATCACCATGCCACCGCCACCGCCACCACCATTATTGCAGCCACCGCCATCACCACCACCACCACCACACCATATGAAAAAGAAAGTAATGATCCGAAAAAATTTATGCTTAATAGAAATGATTTTTTATTCTATTATTTGTTGTATTATCAAACGCTATTCTCATTCTCGGAATAAAAATAGAACGTGTTATCAAACACATTTTTTTTCTCATAAACTGTTTCAAAGAAGTAGAAAAAAATTATTTCTTTTTAGGATCACTGTCTGGGATTAGAACGATTGTTATGCACACTCTTACACAGTTAAAATATATAATAACATTAATATTATAAGCAGGTTATATTGACAATTTTTTTATAAAAAAAACTTATAAACTACACTATGTCTGACCTGTAATACACTAGAATGTCTTACCGGTAAGATATAATGTAGTTATAAAACAAAAACTTTGTAAATATAATATTCTCCTAATATTTTATTACTATAATTCATTATTAGTACAAAAGAAAAGTGTGTATTATTTTAAATAATGTAAAGTTGTATCATTTTAAATGAGTGAAAGAAAGAAATTTAAAAAAAAAAAGGAAAAAAAAAAAAAGATAGGTCTCGTGTTTGTGGAGTGAAATGTTATGTGGATGAACACTTTTCTTCTCCGCAACTTCTAACCCTCGAAACCCTCAATACCACAGTCTTTATATACGCCGTACCCCAAATCGGAAACTTCCAAGTTCCGGCGAATTTCACGCTTCAATAACTCTCTGCCCGAGTTACAACCAACCGACTGAATTTCTGGTGAAGGATCTTCCCAGGTCTGCTGCATATGATAGCACTTTGCTTCAACACATTCACAAGTATCTGAACAGAGGTTTGTATTTTCTTCGTGTTTAATATATATATATATATATATATATATATATATATATATATATAATTAATCCAATTCTAGTTATGGTTGAAGGTTCCTAAACCCAAATAACAAAAAATGATTGAGGGACACTCAGCAAAAATTTATGTGCTTATTGTTGAAATTATGGAAATTTAAGTAGAGCAATCAAAATGGGCCAGCCCGGCCCATTTAGCCTTAGCCCGTGTTGGTTAGGGCCAAAAAGTCCACAATGGTATAGGCCCACATGGGCCAAAAGCCCTAAGGGTTAGGGCTAGCTCATGGCCTTCCAAAAATTTAATATGTACTTTTTGTTTAATAACTTTCACATCTCACACTAGCACATGCAAATCCTTATGATACCAATTCAGATTAGGCAAATACTTACAAGGAAACTAAATTATGTTAAGTTGACCGAGAAGCTAAATCTAATAGATTGTTTGAACAACACGGTTCTTTATTATTTTTCCCAAGAAGATACTTACACATAGGGGTCATATAGATATTCAAATTCTTCATACAAAGTACAAGCCAAAGGGCCAATGCACATATGTCAATGAACTATTCTAAATAAGAGAGCTCAATCTTCTTTTGTCTTTTTTGCAACTCCAGTTTCCTCTGCCTTCTTTCTTGCTTTTTCCTCTGCTTTCTTTGTAACTTCCTTGGACGTCTCAAGAGCTTGAATCAAGTTCTGCAAACAAGTGTCCACTTCTTCATTCAGTGACTTGGGCATCAGATTCTCAGCAACAGCAGCAGGGGTCATCTTTGTCTCTTCCAACAAGTTCTTAATTATAGGAAACAAATGGTGGGACTCAATATCCAAGTAATTCTTTGCAAGCACCTTGAATGCTTCATAGCAACAATAGGTCAATTCTATGTGCATATTTATCCTTCCTCTCCTAATCAAAGCAGGGTCAAGTTTTTTCACAAAATTAGTTGTGAAAACCATGATCCTCTCTCCCCCACATGCTGACCAAATCCCATCTATAACATTCAATAACCTAGAAAAAGTTACTTTGCTCCCTTTATCATCACAATTAAATCAATTAAGCTCAACCTACACATAATCAATGGATCTAAACTATAAATTTCAACTAGCTACTAATAGAAATACCTCTCTAATCTTCAATTTGAACTTCTTGATGCACATTGGCTTGTGATGTTGTTGTTTCATGATCACTAGAACAAGGCTTGAAGGAGAATAAGGGGAGGGCAGGTCGAGGTTGAAGGATCAAAGTCCCAAAAAAAAAGTTTTGAATTCAATTCATGACACAAAACCCTATTAAATAGATTACGTTATCAGCTAGACTACATGCCCAAAGCTATGTTTAGCAATGCACTGCATCATATAGAAAAACTACACGCCCAGAGCTATGTTTAGCTAGAAACATGTAATATCTGTAGTTTTTATGGATTAGTACAGAAGAACATGTAATCCATTGGCTTGAACCAACATGAATAAATCTCCAAATAGAACCTTAGAACATTCATTCAATTTTAATGTAGGAAAGTAAAGTGATGCCTGGACAGCAATATAGGAAAGTAAACATGTAATCCATATCCATTACTCATGTTCACAATCAAAAAATTTACTCTCAACAAAACAATTTATTTTCCTACCTGAGCAATTGTAATAGACACATCAACCCTGGCAGGTTGCTTTTATCAATTATCAGTCATGATTCAAAAGAAAAGAGACTCCAAAAAAAAAAAAAAAATTACAACAATATCTAAAGCCCAAATCATTAAAATAGATCCATACCTCAGTTTCAGCAGCACCGAGAGGTGCTTCAACACAAAATCACAGGATTGCTCAACAAAATCATAACAAGATGATAATGTCAACTCAGCAATGAGTCCTTCAGCCTGCATTACCACCTCACGAGCAAGATAAATATTAAATTGAAAAATTATTTTGTTGCAAACACAGTAATCATTCGCCCAGTTAAAACTCTCCTAAGTCCTAAGGTCCCTTTCAATTAAACAATAACAGTTACAGTATATAGGAATTCACCCTTCACATACTTTAAACGGAAAAACACAGTGGAAAAACGGTTCTCAGCTCATTCAAGTTCCATTCTAAACTGAAAAAAACAGAGTTTCAAAATGCCAAAAGATTTTCAGAAACCATTATGCATCCTTTGACTATAAGTAGAATCAAGCAAGACCAAAACTCGCGTGCTCTTTTCACGGTAAATTATCAAATGAAAAGAATTCAAAAGTTTAACATTGACCTCAGAGATCTATTTACAAGATAAAGAAAAAAAGAAAAAAAAAAGAAAATTAGAAGAAGAAGAACGAAACCATATTCTGTGAAGAAAAAGAACGAGTAGAAGAAGAACGAGTAGAAGAAAGAAGAAATTACAATAAGTATCAACTGCGAAGAAGAAGAACCGAGTGAAGAAGAAGAAATTGGAAGAAGAAACACGACAAGAGAGAGAAATGAGAAATTGGGATTTTAGGGTTTAGAAAAAAAAAAGAGTGGGTTGGCCCATGGTTAACCCCACCCTAACGGCTTTTTGACCCTTATAACCCTTTATTATTAATTAATTACCGATTTGACCTTGATTATAAACTATTTCAAAAATTTAACCCCCTCAGAAAACATAACACCAATCTGCCCCTGTTTGACCGTTGACTACCAAGCCTACCCGGGTACACCCCTCTGTACCCGGGTATTTTTTGAAAATTTTTGTCTACCCGGGTAGGGAGGAGTGTACCCGGGTATTGTTCTTCGTACCTGAAAAATTGCTTGAATTATTTACCCGGGTAGAGAGGGGTGTACCCGGGTAAATCTTCGACCACCCATTTGGTATTTTTTCTCTCTTTTTTACAGCTAATGAGATAGATCAGTATTATCAAGTTAAGCATGCCTAACCAATTTGAAGAGCTTTTAGCTTTGAGAATGGATTTGGAATTTCCATACATCAACACTGTACTGCTCATCAAAGCGGTCCCTGTTCGTATCGATTATGATGGGGTCTACTTTTATGTACGTCAAAATCGCGCTCCTATATATAAATGTGGTACCGGGTCTATTGGGGAGAGTGAGACGGAAAGAAAATAAAGACGGGGTTCATGGTACAGAAATTTAGTGTGAGCATGTAGCTTTTCATTTTACTGGTAAATGACGAATTATCACGTTCAGGGAAGACATGCATGGGACAAGGTTTGTGGTTGTGGATTTATACTGTTAACTGAGAATTCTCTTTCTGAAATAATCATTGAAAAATATTTGTGTGCTTTACAGACCCAAAAAAGTTGCAGAGGCAGAGCACGTGATAGTCGGTGCCTCCATATTCAAAGCTTGGAGAAGAAGAGTGCATGAGAGATCCAAAGAGTAATCATACCGGGTGGTTGAAGATTTACCCGGGTACACCCCTCTCTACCCGGGTAAATAATTCAAGCAATTTCTCAGGTACGAAGAACAATACCCGGGTACACGCCTCCCTACCCGGGTAGATAAAAATTTTCAAAAAATACCCGGGTACAGAGGGGTGTACCCGGGTAGGCTTGGTGGTCAACGGTCAAACAGGGGCAGATTGGTGTTATGTTTTTTGAGGGGGTTAAATTTTTGAAATAGTTTATAATCAAGGTCAAATCGGTAATTAATTAATAATAAAGGGTTATAAGGGTAAAAAAGCCCCACCCTAACCCAAAAGAAATGAGGGTTAATGGGGCTAGGGCCAAAAATAACCCTCCTATATGTGGGCTGAAAAAATAAGGGCTAAAAATTGGGGTTGTAGGGGCTAGCCCGCGGGCTGGGGGTTATTTTGACAGCTCTAGATATTGTGACAACTAGGGGTGAAAGTGGGCTGAGCTGGGCCAAGCTTTGCCCCGAAAAGCTCAAGCCTACGCTAAAAAATTTCAATTTGCCCTGGCCCAAGCCTATTACGAGTCTAACTGTTAGCCTGACTTGGCCTGCTTATAAAAAATCAAATGGCCTGGCCTAGCCCATTAGCCTATTAATTTTTAACTTCCAAACAGAACCATGAATCCACTTTACAAAATAATCAAATTCTATTGCTAATCCAAAAATCGTAATTTCAACGTCCAAACAGAATCATGAATAACAACAAAACTCATACAATCTGCATTTAAGTCACTTTCAAAAGCAAAATGCTCAAATTAAATAACATATATTTCATCAGATCCAACAAACAAATACATAATATGTAAATTAAAATAATTACAAACACATCATGATGCTTGTAGTAACTAGTAAGTATAACTTCTCCCAAAAACCTTGTAATATATTCATATACATAATTTAACATGCTGAGATGTTGGTTCCTCCTACATAAGAAATAAAGTTAGATTTCTATTAAAATATAATCGAATATAATTAAGTTATAAATAATTATAATTGATGAAATTTATATCTTTTGTTTTTTCTTTAAGGCATATTTATTCTGTTTTATTTTATTTAAAATAAATAGTACAATATAGGCCGGCATGTAGGCTTATAGGTCAGGCCTTGTGAAAGTGGGCCTACGGTCTTTTTATTAAACAAGCTTTTTCAAGACCCAAGTTCAGCCTATTTTACGAAATATACTAGGTCAGGTCTAGCCTGATGTAGGCCGAGCTGTAGGCCCCTGTAGGCTAGCCCGGCCCAGCTTCACCCCTAGTGACAACCAAATAAAGTTACAACCAATATTACAACCACTAATCTCACCGTTAGATTGAAAATCTTATCTGACAGTCCTCATTGGTCTCATAAATATCCTCTCTTTCATCGTCTCTCTCTGTTCCCTTTTCTCTCTCTCACTACACGCTCTGCCGTCGCCGCCGCCTCCCACATTCTCTGTCCCGACGGCACCGCCTGCCTCCGTCGCAGCCTCTGTCCCGACGGCGCCACCTGCCTCCGTCGCGCCGCCGCCGCCGCATCCCGCGGAGAGAGAGACGAATACACGATCTAGGGTTAGATTTTACCAGGTTCGATTTTCCCTCTCTGAGTTGTGCTCCCCTCTCTCTATCGCTGTTGTCCATATCCTCCCTCTCTGCGTCTCCGGTCCCATCATTATAGGGTATGTGTCTGTCTCTTCTTTATCAAATTCAATTAGTTGGTATTTTTGAGTCGATATTTTTGATTTGTTTTTTTTTACATTCCCATGAACAATTATGGTTTAGTTTTTAGTTTGTCTCTGCTTTTGTCACAATAATTTTGGTCTGTACTATTCAAAATTTCAAATGAATATGAGCATGAAAAATAAATGTAGGATGGTGCTGGTCGTGTTATGAATAAAAACATTTAGCTAAATAGAATACAAACATGAGTGGTGTTATGAATAAAAACATTTCTAGGATTACCCTTAACATGTCAAGTTTTTGAGATTATTGGTAAATGGAATGGTAAAGAAACAGTTAACTAAGCCATTGGTATCGTTGCTTACTTGTTGCTGCACAAGTTTCTAAGTGAATATTGGTTCTCATATTGCAGATGCATATACCTATAGCAGATTTTTTAAAGTAGAGAAACAATAGAATACAAGAATCCTATGGCATTAATCAAAGGAAGTTATGCATGTGTTTTCTTGAATGGAGGGGTTAGTAAATATAGCAAGATTCCTTTTTTAACATAAGTAAATATAGCAGGTGATAAAGCTAAATAGCTTTATTTTCTTTTCCTTGTAGAAAGCTTTTAGCACCTATAAGGACAAAGCTGATAAATCATCACACTACTTTTTTTCATAGTGATAAATCTTGCTACTCTGTTTCTTACAAGGGCACTTGCGTGGAATATGAGCATGAAAAATAAATGTAGGATGGTGCTGGTCGTCTTGGAAAGATGCTTTATGCTCGGCAAAGAAAGAAATTTGATTATGATCTAAAACAGGCAGTAAATTACTTGCTGCTTGTTCTGGTCAATTTGATAATACAAATTTGAGCTATACCACAATCATTCAATCTCATGACTCTACTAGTTTGTCTTCCCACCTGTAACAGTAGGATTATTTTTTTCCACCGCCTGGATGTTGCATGTATATAAATGATCGAATGGATATCTATTGAGATGAATTGGTTGTTTTATTTGATATTGTATTAATTTCTTGTTGTTTGGATTATATTGTCATGACATAAAGCATAAAGTTGTTTTATCTTTCATTCGTGTAGTTGTTGCGGATCAATTTGAGGTATCTTGTGCTCTCAAAGCAAACAAAATCTGCTTATTATCCTGAAATTACCCTAAACAACTATATATCAAAATCGGTAGGTATACCCTTTTTGTTGTTGTTGTGATTTTAGAGTATTTTGAGTTCATGGGAATCCCATGTGAGCATATTTTTGCTATTTTTTCGGTTGAAAATGCTGAGCAGATCCCTGAACATATGATTTTGCGACGCTGGAGCAAGGAAGGAAATGATATAATTAGTACCAATAAGGACATTTGTAATTTTGATGGAGAAGGACTCCTTCGCGGCTTTGAAATACGCAATAGAGTTTCAAAACTTATTAAGCTTGCAGATAGGTCCAATAAAGCAGCTAAATTCGCTTGTGATGGTCTTGATTCTCTCACTGAATCTTTAGAAAAATTTCCAACACCTGATGATAGTATTGGTCTTGAGGATTTTGATTCACATTACTTGAGTTCTCACACTGAAGAGTCATCTATGATGAGATTGAATGATCCCAACATTTCACAAACGAAAGGTCGAAAAAGGGAGTCACACAATATCTCACAAGGACGTAGAATTCATAGTGGGATTAAAGAAGCATCAAAGAATACTAATATTTGTGGAAATTGCAAGAAACGAGGACATAATAAGCGTACATGTAGAGAGAAAAATTTAGATTGACTTTAGTTTTTTTTATTTATTTTGGGTTACATTACATTTGTTATTATTTACAACAACAACAACAAAAAAAGGTTTGAATTACCTTTTTTTTAGGAACACCTCTTACTATTTCGTTGTGGCTTTCAAAAAGTGTGAAAAGAAGGGAGATTTGGAGTTTGAATCTTGGGTTTGTTTTTATTTTTCATGTTTTTTGGAATTTGGTGTGCTTTGTTTGATTTACCTATCTATCAGTGCTTTAATTCTATTATTAGTTCAGAGTATTAGTATTAATTTTAACTCTTAATTTGTAGCATCTTGCGTTGCTTCAATTTTTTTATACTACCAAACCATTTCGACTAGTTGATACCAAGTTTTTAACAAAGTTGAATACCAGGACTCGAACTGCTTGGTTAAACTGAAAAATCTATAACATTTTGCTTCAATTCAAGTACATATTTATATTTAAATGAGAAACGATCCTTTCGGAGAAGATTTTTACTTAACTTGATATAATGATTCAATGAACTTTCTTTCGATATGTCACTTTTTGTAATAAACCACGATGAATTAATACTTTGTATAATGACATATCACATGGATAATCTATACCTCATTTTGATAATATGAATACAAAGCTTTTGTTGAATTAAAAGAAGCATAATGCTTGGTTCTTCTAAGTTTACAGGAGAATCATGTGCACAACTGAAGGGAATTCTTCTATGGGCAGTTATTCACACTCCTATGACTTCATGGAGATAATAGTTGCTGCAGTAAATAATGCCTCTTTTCCAAGGGACGATATTTCCATTTCCCTACACCATGACAGACAACAAATTTGGACATTGTCAAGATAATTAAAAAAAAATTACAGCTTAGCAAAAAAATTACAGATAGATTCCAAGGAATTTTGTCCTACATCATGATGGGCATCAGAAATAAAATAGTGAAGAAATAACAGAACCAATGGGTAGTTAAAAGCAAGAACCAGAATCACGCGTATTGGTATTCGATGATACAATAAGAGTTACTGTAAAATATGAAAACGATGAAGTCAAGTAGAAAGCACAAATACTTACAGATAGTTTACTTATCATACCTCTGATATAATCAAACTTTGAATAATCTTCAGAATTTGTAGCCACGGTAAAACCTTCCCTGTAGCCAATCTTTTGTTGATGGATTTGGGCATTTCGAGCCGTCACTTCTTGTTCCTTTTTTTTCCATGTGGAACTTATTCAGCTTATCCTCAAACTCCTCAATGCAAGACTTAATTTCAAGTTTTGCGAACTTCTTTCCCTAATTTCAATTTAAATTAGACAAGAAAAAGCCTCAGTCATTTTTACAGAAAGTACGTAGGAGCAAACAAAAACATCATTTTCTTGGTTAGTATGTTCCTGAAATGATCCATAACAGAATCCTCTGACAAGACATGTTCATATGTCTTAAATAAATCTATGAGTTTTTTCATCCCTCTTTCAGTAAATGATAGTTGTGAGAGACAATAAGATATATATTCCCATTGTCTGACATCTGCAGAGAGATAAAGCCACAATTGCTCACTATGAACAATAAACTAAAAGAAATTAATTCCTCTTGGTTTTGTAATTGATAATTGATTACAAAGCCCATTGATATTACAAGGAGAAAAAGGAAGGACAGAGGTTCTATAAAAACTTATGATACAACTCATTAGCTAATCAAACGTGAAACCGGAAACTGTTAGGCGCATCCTATTCCCCATTAAAAACTGAAAAGCATTTTACCAGAGTAGTCTGACTATTATCATTTATAAGATTTGCAAAATGTTCATTGTGTATGAGCACAAAACTATGAAAGGAGAAAAATGTAGCTTAGTCTCAGAATCTTATAATTGGGCTCACTTAGAAAGCGATCAACTAGATTAAAGGACATGCTGACCAGGAAAAAAAAACATCAAAGTAATATTATAAATATTGGTCGCGTTCTGAAACGAACAAAAGCAACGAGTGGCTATGACTTGAAAAAATATAAACCAAGGAAAGAGAAGAAGAAAATATTCAAAACCTTTATATATGTCCAACAGATGCCAGGTCGATCAGAATTTCAAGAAAACCTAATGATAGTGGTTCTTGATCTGAAAAAATTGCTATTTATTGGAATAACATACCTTCAAGTATATTATCTTAATGAATACTAGTTTAGACACTCTTTGACACAAACTTGTGCAAATGTTTGTTTAATGGCGGACAAGCTACATCAGGGAACTGCTTTTAAAGAGTATTTAAAAAATTTCAAAGGGTAAAAGAAGATACCTGTAACACCACTAAACCGATTACATAGCTTTTCCACAAGAGCTTCCACTTGTCTGTCCTGGAGTACGTAAAGAAAGTAATGTCAGGATGGCAATCAGAATATATATAGAACAATTTCAACATTGGAAAATAACATATCCCTAGAGCATCAAGGTGATTCATCAAAGCAAGGAGATATAATATTACCTCACGAGATTCTTCATTTAGCATAGCATATTCATCTTTGAGTTTACTAACTTGTGAAGTAAGGTCCTTTAGCAATTGAATTGTATCACCTATAATGGTTGCTTTGTCATTTTTTGGCCTATCAGGGTCTGCATTTCAGAGCCACCACAGGCACAGAGTGATTTAAGAGAAGTGTTGTTTTATCAGTTCTTAGTATCAAATGACTAACACGTGAACCAATTCTAAGTAACAGGCAACAATTTGTTTGATACAAATTATCAGCATATGTAACTAAAGTAACCTCTGCTACATGTAGTTGAAAATAATTAAAACTCTAACCAGGTTACTTCAATTCCAACCGATTCAAGAACCAGATAATTTTTTCAATTCAATTAGGGCTAAAAACTAAACCATAATTGTTCATGGGAATGTAAAAAAAAACAAATCAAAAATATCGAATCAAAAATACCAACTAATTGAATTTGATAAAGAAGAGACAGACTAAAAACTAAACCATAATTGTTCATGGGAAGGTAAAAAAAAAAAACAAATCAAAAATATCGACTCAAAAATACCAACTAATTGAATTTGATAAAGAAGAGACAGACACATACCCTATAATGATGGGACGGAGACGCAGAGAGGGAGGATATGGGCAGCAGCGGTAGAGAGAGGGGAGCACAACTCAGAGAGGAAAAATCGAACCTGGTAAAATCGAACCCTAGATCGTGTATTCGTCTCTCTCTCCGCGGGATGCGGCGGCGGCGGCGCGACGGAGGCAGGTGGCGCCGTCGGGACAGAGTCTGCGACGGAGGCAGGCGGTGCCGTCGGGACAGAGAATGTGGGAGGCGGCGGCGACGGCAGAGCGTGTAGTGAGAGAGAGAAAAGGGAAAAGAGAGAGAAGGGGGAGAGAGACGATCAAAGAGGGGATATTTATGAGACCAAAGAGGAACGTCGGATAACATTTTCAATCTAACCGTGAGATTAGTGGTTGTAACATTGGTTGTAACTTTATTTGGTCGTCACAATATCCTATCCCATCTTATACTATTATGAATATAAAAAGCCACTTTTCATTAAATTCCAACTAGCAAAAGTGGAATTAGGATAATCTTTGTATGCACTTGCAATCTTACCTTTGCATATTTCACGAAGATACTATTTTTCCTTATAATATCATGAATATATCATAAAATAATTTAGAATATTTTAATTAATTTGTAAGGATAATTTTTCTTTTTCTTTTTTTAGTATTTCATCATATATTTTTTTTAAATTTTTGGGGTCCCCTATTTAAATATGAATAAGGCTTTTTTTACTTTATCTTCTGTTTCTCATCATAACACATAATATTCTGCTTTTATTCCCGTTATACTTAAATTCCCATAATTTCAACAAGAAACACCTAAATTTTTGTTGAGTGTCCCTCAATGTTTTATTTGAGTTTACCAACCATGAACCATAACTTGAATTGGGATCACGGCCAAGAATCCATTAGTAATTGGTCGCACTGGTGATATGAGCATCATTAAGCTTTACATGTAATGTCAAAAGTTAAAATACTGAAGTCGCTACTTCAAGTAATTTTACCTAACCACTACTTTTATCCCGTGAAATTAGTCTCACAGCTATGCCTGTAGAGATACTTAATCAGAAATCAATATATATATTTTAAGAAAAAAATATTTGTCATCTTAAAGACACAGCTTTGTATCATTTTAGATGAAACGGCGTCGTTTTGATGCATAATTGGTGATTTTTTTATAGTTTCTCTCTTTTCCTA